GATGGCTTTTTGAGAAACTGATCCAGGGATGTTTGTTTTGCTCATTGTAAATTTCCCTGTAGTGCTGTAAGTGCAAGGATCCAGTCCCATAAATGATAACATGGGCGTAAATGGCAGAGTGCGGGAAGTGTAAATCGCCGTAAGTCAAAACGCTGTAAGTTGAGGACTGCCTGTATAACCTACTCACTCCCTTCTAAACTTTTCATTCCACATGTGTTAATGACCCTCTCTTCTTTTTATTGGTCTTGATGTTCCACCAGTCAAGCTCCCCTTTGTTCTACCATTCTGCTGTCTGTCCCCTGCTCCTGGTAACAAAGCCCCTATTTCACAGCCCTGCAGACTGGTTTTAACTTATTCCAATGAAGTTATATTTGTTTTTGCTCGCATGGTAAACAGAAAGTGCAGGTCTAGGCCCCTGGCCTATTAGGTAAGTGTCTAGTTTATTTTTAACTGGAGAAAAACAGGTGTTGTTTTATATGCGATGATGCACACCACCATCTGCACCCCCCTTTCAAAATCTTACATCTGTCCTCACACGTGCGTGTGTGCATGCATACTCATGCAAGCTTACTCTTTTATACCCTCCAGCTATGGATCACGACTGATCGTTTTCTATTTCAGTCATGGTTTTTGTACAAGGTCTTGCCAACCAAGGCAGAAAACACGACAGCATCCTGCTTCTTCCAAGCCGAACCCATGCCATGGCTGGTTGGAGAAGGTGGAGGAAACAATTAATTCGGAACGCGTGTCAACCCTTTCTTTACTTGTCTCTCTGCAGGGCCTGCGGCGCCGCAGTGCCCGGCCGCGCCGCCCCCCAGTGGGGCACCGCTGGTGCGGGAGGCCCTGTCCTGGCCGCCTGGCCCTCGCGCAGGGCCAGAGAGGACTCGGCTGGCGGCCGTGGGCTCCTCAGTTCTGCCTCCGGGCTCTTCTCCCGCGTCCCTTCCCCTTCTTCAGCCCCGAGGGCGGCTCCGGGCCAGGGCAAACGGGCAGCGGCCGCACAGCCGCGGACACTTTCTCTGTATGACTTTAATGCTCACAAAGGCCCTGGACTGGCCGGGACGAGA